AAAACAGCGCACTTAAATTTGTAATAATTTAAGTAAACTCAAAGACGCAGAAAAATGCACAAACTTCCAAGCAAATTGTCAAACGGTAAATATCAGGATTACACATATTTGAAATAAGACCTGATGTATTTTTGACTAAAATAGTGTATTTTTATAAGATATTTTTTTTGGAATATGGCAACTCCAAAAATTGAGCCAACTACGTCATCAAGATGGCGGCCATGGCTGATGTCGTAACCTTGTATTCTATGAACCTTGACCTCCTTTCAGTGTGATAATGTTTTTTGTAATATAATATATGTAATTTCTTTAAGCTCTTTAAACTTATTAAAAAAGGAAAATTCGTTTCTTATTGTACTGAACCGCATGCACTAAAAATCAAGTGCTCAGCGAACTCCAAGGTATTACAACTGTGGCACAAATTGGAAACATCCGGCTTAAATTCACTGAGGTACTCTTTGCCATAAGTTCTGCCCGCTATTACCACGTTTATGCGTAAGCTATTTGCAAATAAAAATAATATGAAAATACCTAACTCACTGTTTATTCGATGGCGAAAATTTTTTATTTAATATTGCCTGATTATAAAAAGGCTATAATACGACCATCGAAAAAGAAAATAAACCTAAGAATGGCGGCGTCTTGTATATAGTCGATTTAGCAATTTTGTGTCCTATGCATTAAGGTCGCAGTTTTGCCCCTAAACCATGGTTTTTTCCCTGTGCATTATGCTGTTTAGCATACCTACTTTCATCCCATCTGTTACCGAAAATATTAATCTCATTTCTCCATTCGTTCCATCGACTGCTGCTGATTCTGTTAAGCAGTTCATTCGGAGTCGCATCTACACTAAGCGCCAAACTTTGAGTCACTGCAGCTTTCGCCGCAAAGTCCGCCTTCTTATTAAAATCCATACCAATATGCGCAGGGACCCAAATAATACGTATCTCTTCAAACAACATTTTAACTTTGGCCCTTATTATGAGCTGCATTAAATTTTCGATCTTCGCTGGTTATCGAAGATCGAAAGTGAAATTCGTATTATGAGCTACGCAATCGTGTCGAACAGAATTTCGCTTCCCATGGTGTAGCGAAGTGTTAGAAAATGGTGAAAAATATATTTTGCATTTGTGTTCTTACTTTTTGGCGGCTAGACACTAATTTTAAACAGTTTTTTTTTATCAATTTCATGCAGTTTAACGTCGTGAATACTAAACACAAGCTCGAAGGGCTAACTTTACTTGTGAAAGAAAATCCCAATACTCAGTTGGCACGATCTCTGAGAACAAAATCCTAGAGCTGTTGATAGTTCTAAAACATTTTAAATAGTTTGGCTCACAAACGCTTCTTTAGACAGTCGGAAGTTTTTAATAAATCTGTAGACAAATTTGTTAAATATATTTTATGTCAAAATATATTGGAAAGACTACACTTAAACTCTCTTAAACATTTACTACTCTTGTAGCTCGTTTCTGTATCTCTTCTCTACCGATTATTTCTGTACTGGTGGGGAAAATACCTACGTTATTCTCTACTACTCATAAGCAGTAGAGAACCACGGTGGAGAGAATACAGAGGTGGCGCCGATGCACGGTGGAGAGAATACAGAGGTGGCGCCGATGACGATACCGCT